CTTGATGTTGAGCTTCAATTCATACTGTCAATTCCCAGAGCCTTACTTTTTTTTCCAATGCTTTTAGTGTGGGTTGGACTTCTTCCTTCAGTACCACTGGTTCTTGATCACAGCTATTTCCTGAAATAGTTCAGTGTCAACCAATGATTCTGTGTATTCCTTCCATCTTCTTTTGGTGCTTCCTGCATCATTCAACATTTTGACCATAGAATCCTTCAGTATTGCAACTCAAGGCTTGCATTTGTTCTTCATGTCTTTAAATTTGAGAAATGTCAAGCTTATTCTTCCCTTGTGGTTTTCTAATTCCAGGGCATTACATATTTTTATTATAATACTCTCCTTTGTCTTCTTGAGCTGCCCTTTGAAATCTTCTGTTCAACTGTTATTCCATTTCTTCCTTTACTCATGTACACTGAAGAGCAAGTTTCAGAATCTTTACTGTCACCCATCGTCTTCTTTATTTCCTATCCCTTTCTTTTAAGGTATAAAAAATACAAAAAATATTAGAAAGTTACAAGAACTGAAGAACAAATTCAAGCCTCAAGTTGCAATAATTAAGGTTGCTTTGGGCAGAATATTAAATAATCCAGGAAGCATTAAAAGAAGGTGGAAGGAGTACCCAGAGTCACTGTACCAAAAAGAATTGACTGACAAAGAAGAATTTCATGAAACAATGTATGAGCAAGAGCCTGTTGTGATGAAGGAAGAAGTTCATGCTGCTCTGAAGGAATTGGCAAAAAATAGGCCCCAGGATTGATGGCATATCAACTGATATATTACAAAAAACAGATGCTTTCCTGAATGCTCTCCCCAAGTTGTGCCAAGAAATCTGCAGGACATCCACTGGCCAACTGACTGGAAGAGATCCATATTTGTTCCCATTCCAAAGAAAGGTGACCCTGTTGATATCACCAACAGAGTGCAGAAATTATCAAACAATGTCATTAATATCACATGCGAGCAAAATTCTGCTGAAAAGTATCCAAAAATGACTGGAACAGTACATCAACATAGAACTGCCTGAACTGCAGGCTGGATTTATAAGAGGTTCTGGTACCAGGGATATTATGGCTAATCTTAGATGGATCTTGGTTGAAAGCAGAGAGTACCAGAAGAATGTCTATCTGTGTTTCATTGATTATGCAAAGACATTCAACTGTTTGGGTCACAACAAACTGTGGCTAATCTGAAAAGAATGGAAACCCCAGAACACTTGATTGTGTTTATGCGAAATGGTGTCAGTCAGGAGACTAAAGTGCACCTGATCCAGGCTATAGGCTTTGCAATTACTTGCTATGCATCAGAGAGCTGGACAATGACTAGGGATGATAGAAAGATAATAGATGCCTTTGAGCTGTGATGCTGGAGAAGAGTATTGAATTTACCATGGACTACCAGGAGAATATACAGGTTCATCTTAGAAAGGGTGAAACCAGTCTGCTCTTTTGAGGCAAATATTCTGAGACTTCGTCTGACATACTTGGAGCATGTTACAACAAGGGGCCAGTCCCTGAAGAGGGACATCATGCTTCAAAGGGTGGAGGGACAGAGAAAGAGAGGGAGACCATCGATGAAATGGATTGATACAGTGACTGGGGTAATAAGGGAAGGTGTGTCAGACAGTAAAGTTGGCACAGGATAGAGCAGGTTTCAGGGCTGTTGTACATAGGGTTGCTATGAGTCACAAGCAACTTGACAGCACCTAACAACAACAACAATACTTAGACCAGGAGGTAGTTGTCAGAACAGAGCAAGGAAATACTGCAAGGTTTAAAATTGCAAATGGTTTATGCCAAGGATATGTCCTATCTCCATACCTTGTCAATCTATATGTGGAACAGATCTTCTGGGAAGCTGGGCTCTATGAGGAGGAATGTGCCATCAGGATTGGAGGAAGACTCATCAACAACATGCATTATGCAGATAACACAACTGAGAGATAAGAAGCTGAGGAGGACCTGAAGTACTTGCTGCAGAAGGTCAAAGACTGCAGCCTTCAATATAGACTAAAGCTCAACATCAAGAAAACATCACAGTCCCTTGTTCCCATACCTAGTTAGACAGCTATTCAAAATGGCAATACTGCTTCCATTTCCAGTTTACAGTTCATGTTACTTCTCTCTCCTTATTCTGTTTTCTTTCCATTTCTTCCTTCAGTTAGTGTTTGAAGTACTACTTTGCCAGGGCTCCAGAATTATCACGGGGTGTTTTCTGTCCTCTCAGCTAAAGAGAATTTGAACTGTTGTCTGTCTGGTGTACCATTTTATCCGGAAGTGCACGCTGAACTTTCACTATTCCTTGTTTTGCCTTAAGACACTGTGACTCAGTATGGGCCACTCACTGGGATGAAGGTCTTTTGTGAATTCATTTTACCAGAATTCCCCTGACGCTCACCATCTCAGAACAACAAAACACTCAAGGACTCCTGTTTGTATAAGAAATGTTTGTGCAATCAGAATCCAAGTCACCATTGACTCCAATATGTCTAGATATCTACTATCCTGTCCCTGTTTTAGTCATCTTTCTTTGTTTACTCTTTATGCTTCTCTTTGTAGTCAGATGCGGAAGTGTTGAAGAGATTTCAGAGAAGGTAGAAGGGAAGCAAGCTAAAAAGGACAACAGCAAAAAATGAGGGTGGAAAAGCCCTCTCTTCTTCCCTTACAAATGCCATTCCTTCTGCCCCTATAAAGTATCCATATTTAATTCAGCTGAACTGTTACCCACTAAATATTCACAACAGAATGAGGACTGGAGATGATAGAACTGCTGCCAACAAAGAACAATTCCCTGACAGAGCCATTCAGGCAGGAAGGCTAATGTTAACTGCAGACCCTTCTATTTTGTGGGGAAGGGTTACTAAAAGGTATTCACAAAATAATCAGCTGGTGGGCACTGTAGAGAATATGCTTGACTTACCCGATAAACTGCTTTAAAACACATTTGAAACCCTTTAGCTGAATCGGTTTCAAAATCAGAGAGTGAATCCACTGAACAGACATCCCTTGTACCTCTCTGGGAAAGCTGATTGCCAGCACCTTGAATTGATACCCAGCAATCAGGTTGATTTCAATTGCTTTAGTCATTTGTGAAATCTTCATTTTATTAAGCAATTCAAATTTCTTTTCTGATTTTAAGAGTTTGACTTAAGTGCAGATTAACATTCTGTCTGGAGGAACACACATAATGTGATGCATATTGTAGATAATGTACAGTCAGTTCCATGGGCCCCAAGGCTTAGGATTGGCAAATGCTTGCCTGTGCCAATGAAGAGAGACAGAGTAAAAAATGAAAAATGGAAAACAAAACCCCCAATAAACCCAGTAGTTGGAAGCACTGTTATCTCCCTGGTTCTGGAAAAGATCCTGCAAACTCAGAGGTGAGACAGAGTTAATTTTATGACCTTTTAACATCATATTTTATTATATGCACCTGAGGATCATCTGACACTTAGGATTGTTAACAATGAAATGAGAACAGAGGCTTTCAATAATATTATCGATTTAAGCAGCTTTGTGCAGATGAGGTTTTACCATCTATATAGTTAAATGAAAAAGTTTGTATGTCAGTCTGTTCTACAACAATAAGTAAAACTTATAGGGGAAGCTAGGCCACAAAAATGGGAAGGAATACCTATCACTCTGCCTATTAGCATATCTGTGCTTGTCCAGCATTTCATCAACCAGATTTGCATCTGAAATCAATCTCATTTCTGCATTCCTTTTCTTACTGGCTACATATTCAAGCCTCTATTAATTTTAAGTGGGTTTCCCTCCACCAAAGCAACTGTTCAGTTAGGCTCATTCCCCCAAAGGTGTCAGGAATAAAATTTTGGACAAATATTCACTCACAAAGTGTCCTAACTTGGAAGTTGGGCTTTTGGGTGTTTTCTGGAAATGAGGAAATCTTTCACAAATAGCTCCCAGGCTGCCTTGCCATCACTTGACAGTGGCCAGATCAGGTCCTGGGCCATGTCCTGCCAAGGGACTGAGGGGATTTCCTCTTCAAGGACACAGGGGCCATCAGCAGGGTCTCCATCCCCAGCAACACCACAGACCCTAGGTTTACTACTCCCTGAAGCAGGAGGCAGCATCAGAGCAGGTCAGGTGACAGAAAGACATGCCTGACCTGACCCCTGACACAGAACAGGGAGGGAGAGGCGCCATATTCACCGAGACTCAATGATTCTTTTCACGTAGTGTCTGGCATTTATTGAAAAGGAATAAAAAACAACAAAAGAGACTTTTTGTCCAGGTGGTGTTCAGGAGAGGGCAGACGGCAGGGGTCCTGTTTTGGAAGGAAAGGCACACATCTGAGAGACAGCTGCAAAAAGAGAAGTGGATCCCGGGCAACGCGGGCCAGTCAGTCCACGGGAGGAAAGGAGTCAGTGGATGTGGCTGCCAGGTCCACGTGGGCCGAGGTGCCACCTGGCAGGAACAGAACAGGTGTCCAGAGTGGGGATGGCGCAGCCTGCTGCAGGAGGATGGCCGGTCCCCTGTGGGTCAGTGTCCAGCGGCCAGCTCAGGTCCCCCTGGGTGAGTCCCGAGGGCCAAGGCGGCAGTCTGTCGTGGGGTTGGGTGGCCGAAGTGGCTGTGGTCAGCGCAGGTGTCTGGGCAGATGGACGCAGGCCTGGTGGTGGGGCGCGGGCCCCTGTGCGGTGTGTAACGGGAGCCCGGCTTGCCGCTGGGGCGCAGGACAGAGTCCAAATGTGCAGGGCAGGGCTGGGCGGCCCGGCAGGCAGGGCGGCGGCTGGCAGGGGACTCAGGCTGGGTGGCAGCGGCGGGGACCTGGAGCAGCGCTATTTCTGGAACAAAGGCAAGCACGGGAAGGCGGGCGGGGCAGAAGCTCGGGAGAGCCAGGTGGTGACGGCCGGGCAGCACCGGCGCGCGGTGGGGGGCTGCAGCCTCCTCCTCCTCCTCTTCCTCGGCTGGCGGCCAGGGGGCGCAGGGACCCCTCCCCTGCACCGTCCCCAGCACCGGGGTGGAGGCGGGGCGTGTCACGGCCTAGAAGTCCTCGTCCTCCTCCCAGCCAAAGACCCGCTTCATCTCGGCCAGGAAGCCCCGGTAATCTTGGAGGAGGGGGCTCCCCGACTTGATGTAGGGGATCACCCACTGCAGCGCCCGCCCCGTCATGCGGGTGATGAGGAACGTCACCTTCAGGCCGTCGTTGGAGAACGTGGTCTCGTCCACGAACATGTAGGAGCCCGTCTGCACGATGAACTCGGGGAGGCGGTCGGTGTCCCCGTCAAACAACTCGGGGAAGGGAATTGGGTTCCTCCAGCGGCGCGTCTGCGGCCACCGGTGCCTGGACAGGAGGACCTTCATCAGCTTCACCCGGTCCTCCATCGCGAGGTGCTTGCTGGGTCACTGTGTCTCCAGAACTGTGTACAGGCCTGGCCGGAAGTGCGTGTCTGTGGAGAGGGGCTGTCCTGGGGGGGTACAGGAGGGAAGGGAACTTGTCAGCTTTTGCAGCTGATTCTTCAGCACTGCGCAGGCGCAAGGGAGAGGAAGGGGGCGTGGTTGGACTGTTGCCTGGAGAACCTACAGTAGTTTTTTTAACGTTATCTGGAGGGCGGGGTGAGGGTGAGGGGCGGGGCCGAGATTTTCCCACGAGGGCCGCCAGTGAAATTCGGAGATCAGGGAAGAGATAGGGAACAATTAAGAATTCTGATTCATTGGAATACCCTGGCTTTTAATGATCTTTATGCTCTGGGTTGATAATTTTTTCCCTGTTCCTGTTCTCTATCTTCTTTACCCTCACTACACTCTTACTCTATGGTCCTTAATCCTATGAATGTTATTTAATGTGATTTTGAAAATACATTTTCCTGCCTATGTCTTTTATATGTCACCTGGAGAACCATAGGCACTGCTGGTCACTTTGCAACTTAGTGGAATAAGTAACTGGCAAATATAATTCGCATTTATGCACCTTGACTTGGTAATGTATCTTTTTGCTGTGTGTTATTTAACTGGTTACAACTCATAGTGACCGTATTGAACAACTGAACTGGACGCTGACCTATACTGCAGTATCCTCACCATCTCATAACATAACTGAGCCCATTGCTATAGTCACCTTTCCAGTCCATCCTGCTGAGGGTCAAATATTAAGATATCTTGCAAATACCTAATTGTTGTTGAGTACCAGCCAGTTGGAACTGACCCATAGCTGACCCCCCAGTTGATTTTCAGAGGCAATAAATCTCATGGGAGGGCGTAGCCCACCTTTCTACCATAGTGGATTTGAAAATGCCTTTGGGATTGCCATGCATTTCTTATCATCATGCCATCAGAGCTCTGATGCCTTATTAAGAGACAAAAAATAAAGGAATACATGATTAGGTGTTATTTGCATGACAATAGCCCAGAATAAGAGGTGTATAGTAAAGTGGACTGGGGGGATTGTGCAACAACGAAAAATTTTTTTTACACATCTATGCAACATTCCTTTATTACATAATCTTTTAAGTTGTGGTAGAGCACATATAACAAAACACTTGCATTTCAAGTATTCCTATGTGCACAATTCAGTGTCATTTGTTAATTATGTGTGACATATGTGGACATAACTACTATCTTCTTCCAATCTTTTCCATCACTCTTAATAGGAACTCAGTGGCCCTTAAGCACTTATTTCTCATTTTTGTAATAAATGTGTATGCATGAAAACATTTGCCATTTCAACTACCCTCACATGTACAGTTAGCCCATCAAACAAACAAAAAACAAACCCAGTTGCAATCATGGCGCCCTTTCACTGGGCTGCAAAGTCTGTTCACCCTAACATCACTTGGATTGTCGTAAAGCATTCACTGATGGATTTAGTCCATTTCCCCGGTTGTGGTAGTTGGCTACTACCAAACAAAAGGTCCATTTCTCTCCCTCATGATTCTCACAGCCCAGTTGTAGGGCCTGGGCAGGTAATTAATCAGGTAACTCCAGCAAGATAGGGCTGGTAGCACAAGTGCCAACTGTGGACCTGGCTCACCCTGGGGTGCAGGCTGCTCTGGGAGCAAAGAATTTTTTTAAAGCGGAAAGCAAACTGGGGATGGGTAGAGAGGAAAGTGTGCAACAGTGAATGAATGGGAATCCAAGTTCTTGATAAACCTTTGTTAAAATCTCAATGCATTTTTTTGTAATAAGAGACAAAAAGAAAATATAAAAAAATCAACATCTCAAATGTATAAAGTTAGAGTCAGAACCAACTGTTAGCTAACCCTCCAGCCAGTTTCTGGGGCTGTGGATCTCCCAGGAAGCAATTGCCCATCTTTCTCCCACAGAAGTACTAGTAGACTCTAGCCAGGAGAGGCAAGGCCTTTGGGTTAGTAGTGCACATTCTTACAGATTAAGCCAGCAGAGCTTTTCCAAAGAAGCTGTCTGGTTATCTGTGCAGCCAAGGCGTTTTTAAGAGTTAAAGATGATCAGTTTGAGAAGTTTTATATTATGAACTATGTTTCCAGGAACAAAGTTTTTAGGAGTACATTTCCTTAAAAAAGAAAATAAAGAACAGAAAGAAATTGGGCAGCAAAAAAAAAAAAAAGAGTTAAAGATGGTAAGACTTTATCCCATACTTGGATCAGGAGGTATCAATTTCATGCTTACAAATGTATAGGATCAGTGAAGGAGAGGAACACCCGACAATAGTTAAACTGACACTGTGACTACAACAATGGGCTTGATTGACACAACAGAGATTGTGAAATGGTGTAGGATCAGACAAAGGTTCAATCTATGTACATTGAATCACTATGAGCTGGTGTTTACTCAACAACAGTGAATTATGAAGGTGGTAGTGGTGGTGGTAAGTGCCACTGAATGAATGCTGTTGAATCAGTTCTGAGTCATCTTGACCCTTTGTTAGGTTTTTGGGGCTGTGAGTCTTTACCAGGAGAGACTGCATATCTTTCTCCTGCAAGTCACCTTGTTGTTGTTGTTGTAAGTGCCATTGAGTCGTAGACGACTCATAGCGACCCTATGAATGAAAGACCTGAACACTTGGATAACTTTCATCATTTCTCCACGTTTATAAGGTTTCTGGAGGCAAGCTATTTCGGAAGTGGATGCCACTCCTGCTTCCGAGCCTGTTTGAATCAGGGAGCTCCACCAAACACTGTCCACTATGGGTAAAAGTTATCGCATTTGACACATCAGTGTCACAGTGTTTAGCATCACAGTAACCAGAGGATTCGAATTGCTGACCTTTTGGTTAACAGTCTGATAATGATCTTTGTTGTTGTTGTTGTTGTTAGGTGTCATCAAGTTGACTACAACTCATAGTGACCATATGAGTAATGAATCTGAACCCTGCCCTATCCTATGATAGCCATCTCATCCTCATATACTTAAGCCCATTGTTACAGTCATTGTGTCAATGCATCTTGTTGTGGCTCTTCCTCTTTGACTGACTCTCCCTCCACCTTCCCAAGCATGGTATCTCTTTCCAAGGAATGGCCCCTCCTAACAACATACCTAAAACATGTGAGACAAAGTTTCACAATCCTTATCTCTTTTTTTGTCTTTTTTTAAATTGAGATTTTAATGATAGTTTATAAAGAATTTGGGTTTCCAGTCATTCACACCATCCTTATCTTTAAGGAGCACTCTGGTTGCTCTTTCACCAAGATGTGTTCTTTTGGCAGTCCGTGGGATATTCAATACTTGTCACCAACACCATAACTCAAAGGCATCAATTATTCTATGTCAGCTTTACTAATTGTCCAACTTCCACATGCATAAGTAATGGAAAAGACCATGGTTTCAATCAGGTGTACCTTAATCTTAAAAATCTACATCATTGTTGTTTAGCACTTTGGAGAGTTCTCTGACTGTAGACTTTCCCAATACAACACATCTTTTGATTTCTTGATGGCTGGTATCAAAGGTATTGTTGATTGTGGATCCAAATAAGATGAAATCAACAACTTTAATTTTTTTTCTCTATCATGATATTACCTATCAAGACAGTGGTGAAGATTTTTTTAAAAAAAATTTTATTTTGTGTGTGTGTGCTGTCAAATCAGATCTGACTGGCACAGGAGGAGATTGCCCCTCCTTCTCCAGCAGAGCATCTGGTGGATTAAAACTGCATACCTCTGGGATTGCAGTGCAGCTTCTTGCCAGTAGGCCACCAGAGCTCAGTGGTGAAGATTTTTATTTTCTTAACAAGGCTTTTGACTGTGTGGCTCACAACAAGCTGTGGCTGACACTGAGAAGAATGGGAATCCCAGAACATTTGATTGTGCTTATGTGAAACCTATACTTGGACCAAGAGGCAGCCGTTAGAACAGAGCAAGGAGACACTGCATGGTTCAAAACAGGGAAGGGCACTTGACCAAAGAAGACATTCAGATGGCTAACAAGTACATGAAGAAATGCTCCAAATCCCTAGCTCTAAGAAAGATGAAGATCAAAACAACTATATCATCTCTCCGCAGTCTCAATAGCAAAATTTAACAGAACAGCAAGCAACAAATGCTGGCGAGGTTGTGGAGAAACTGGAACCCTTATTCATGGTTGGTGGAAGTGTAAAATGGTGCAACCACTGTGGAAGGCGGTATGGCGCTTTCTCAAAAAGTTGCAAATAGAGATACCATTTGACCCAACAATTCCACTACTGGGAATATACCCCGAAGAGACCATAACTGCCACCCAAGCAGATATATGCACACCCATGTTTATTGCAGCTCTGCTCACAATAGCAAGGAGTTGGAAACAACCCAGCTGCCCATCAACAAACGAATGGATAGAGAAGCTGTGGTACAGTCACACAATGGAATACTATGCTGTATTGAAAAACAAGGAACTCATGCAATATTATTCAAAATGGGTGACCCTGGAGGACATTATGCTGAGTGAAGTATCTCAGTCACAAAAGGATAGATACTGTATGGTGCCACTGTTGTAAAACAGGACTGACCTCGGAGTTGGGGAGAGATTGAGAAGGATGGGTTCAATAATGTATACTGCATTGGAACAGATGAGGGAGAAAACTGTTTAAAAGGGATATGTGATTAGGTATTTTTGTTATGACAGGAGTCCAGAGCAAAGGCTGCACAGTGGAGTGGACCTGGGGGGAGGGATTGTAAAACAATGAAAGAATTTTTCTTTTACTTTTCCAAGAGGGTAGTGTACTAGGGGGGAGGGTTGGGAGGGGAGAAAATTGCAACAATGAATGAATGAAAATCCAAACTCTCTGTAAATTTTCATTGAAATTAATAATACATTTTTTAAAAATTGAAATAAAAAAGATGGTTTATAATAACAACAAAAAAAGATGTCAGAACAATAACTTACCTTTCTATCTTTAGAAATTAGGGGGCCATAGGGAAAGAGCAAATTAATCC